TACATTTGCAACTCACGTCCCTACATATCCCAACTAAACTCTGGGCTTGTCGCGCGTTGCAGCTTATCAAGAAAAGAAACAATTGAGCCAATCGCTTGTCACCTTGGGGTCGAGGGTATGAAGCGGAACATCTGATCTGTGAACCTGCTTCAGCACGCAGATTTGTAGGTGCTCTGCATGTCAGCCTCTCCAAAACGATGACCCCGTGGCCGCAGATCGAAGTTCAGAAGCTGCAAGTAGGTAGCCCCCAAGCTCAACACCTTCTCCCAAAGAATTACGCCCACTGGTGACACTCACATGCTTTAACACCGCCTTGGAGAGAGATCTCTCGTAAAACCTAAACAGAGACAAAGCTGAACTCTGCCACCGAACGCTTCAGGTGACAGCAGACCACTTCTTGGGCTTGCCGCTTGGGGCACACAGCCGAAGTCAGGTCTTTGAACGAGAGCCAATGCAGGTTAACGGTTAACGTGGGTTAGCGTAGGTGCGAGCTGCTCGGGTTGAAGAAACTGTGGGGAGTGGTTTTTGCAGAGTGGGGCATTATGGCTATCGGGACCAAGTGGGGCATTGTGCCTCTGCATGTCAGGGTGGGTGGAAAGTGGATTCAGGGATAGGGGCCGATGTGGGCGTTTTGGGTGCATGATGCCTACAATCGAACGTCTCCCAGCCTGCAGCTGCCAATCTTGTTGACTTCTTGACTTCTTGAGATGGATGTAGGGTTTGGGTTTAAGCTACTGTTTGGGTCCCTCAGCCCCGATACTTGAAGCCCTCGCACTGGTCAAGTCGCAGCCTGCGGCTGAATGGGTTTGGTAGTCCCTGCGACTGGCGGCTCAGGCGAATGAAATTTGAATAGTTGCATTCTTCGCCTGTCGGACGTCTTCACTACTGCGGGAGTAGGTTTGACATTGACGTTTGCGCAATATCAATGTCACTGGTCAAGTCCACACAAACCAAGTGCTGGATAGATTAAAGGAACGAACAGGTTTGAGCACCACACGACCCAGGTGCAAGTTTGAACGGGCAGCGGATCTGTTGGAGATGCAGCTTGAGAAAATCTGCGACGAGGCGTGTCCGCTCTGCTCCTTGGCCTCAGTCCCATCGGCATGTAAGGTAGGCCGGAACGTCAAGTACCAATCCTAACACCTAGAATCAGCCCAGCGCTACTTCAGGGCTCACAATGGCCCACACGACCCCGAAAACTCGCCGAATATCTCTGTGTTGTGGAACTCCGGGCTTTGGCAGTACAGGGACTTGGTGGCAGTCTTACTTGCTTAGGGCCTGGATTTCGTTGTGTTTTTGATATGAAGTTGACAGGTCGAGATAGAAGCTCGAGCCTGAACTTCCTTAAGTCAACAAACGTAGCCTTCCCGTGGCTTTTCAGCTGAGGCAACAGTGACCTGCACGTGGAGCTCCTCACCAAGTATGGAGGCCATCCACTGCCGAAGACCAAATCCAGGATGCGAAATGTTGGAGAAAAACATTGTGAGGGTCTGTGTTCCCCACCCATTGTTCTTCCCTGAACTGAAAGCACTGCGAAGACCATCTTCTCGTTCGGGCTGCTCTATCAGCACCTTGGGCACTGAAGAAGTTTTTTTTTTGGGGGGGTCCAGTTCTGAGAGGCATCCTGTGGTGGGATGCGGACGCGGAGGGCGCCATCGACGCCTACACAGCCGCGGACGAGGTTCTCGCGGAGAGGATGCAGGCCTCGATGAACAAGAAGCCGGGAACATTCTGAAACTCAGGTAGTACATATGGCTTCGAAGGCTTTTATGCAACTTCGAGACTGCACAGCTGCAACTTGTGCATCTGAGCGCGGATGGGGGATGTTTTAATGTTAGGACTTAGGACTACAAGGGCACAGGGGGTACACTAGCATCATTAGCTCGAGAGCTTAAATGCCCGGCGAAGGCAGAGAAAGATTTGCAGCTAATGAAGCGGCGCACGCAGATTTGGGGCACCTCGGTCATGATCATAGCCCAAAGAAAGCCACCAGAATCGCAAGCTCCCTTCCCATCCTGGGGTGACGGTCTCCTGAGTAGGGATGTCGAGGTGTTCAGGCCTGGAGCTCGAAGCGCGCCCCCAACACTTCGGACCTAACTCTGCAGGCTCCTAACGACCTGAAGTGTTCAGGCACCATTCGAACAAGCTGGTTTAGGGTTTTGGTGCTTTGATGTGCTTTGGGGCTTGGGGCTTAGAGTGATGCTTCGCGATGCCTGCTCAGCCAAGGCCTCATGGCTCAGGTCTACCGCCAGGGAGGTCGGCTCGGGGCCGCGGCCTGGGGCCCTGGATCGCTTTGTGGGCTGTATGATGGTGTAGGCCAGTGCAGGCTCTGTTGTTTGCTTTGTGCTTTACTATTTGTTTTTTTTTTGCTTTGTTTGTGCTTCGCTTTTTCTTTGTGTCTGGAGATGCTGGTTGGGCTTGGGCTCCTTTGCGAACATTTGCCTGCAGTCATTCTTTCTCCTGGGGAGAGGTGGGCTTGAGGGCTCCTGGATACTCCTCAATTTTAGGCTACAGTACTTTGAACCCTGAACCATCAACAAGAAACAAAACGAAGCTCGACATAAACAGTGCTGGCGAACTCCAGCCCATGTCGGCGCGGTGAACGACTAGGAAATCGCTAGCTGTGAGCCTCAAGCGCTCAAGCCTCCTGAGAAATAGCGATGCCTGTCTTCAGTGGCATCACCAATGTGTAGATAGTTTTCGCCTCGAAGCCGCAGCTAAACGTCCCCCCAAAACCATGCGAGCCAGCATAGAATGTAAAATGTGCAGCAAGCTGAGGAACGGCGGCTGGCGGCGGCCACTGCTACACTCGAGCTGATGCTGCTTGCTTTCACAATCGGGGCGGAATTGAGGGCATGCATGCGCATGCTGTAGATAGCTGCTGTCGTGGTTTTAAATGTATCCTTGACAAAGTCATTTGGATTAGTACTGGCTCGTTGGCCTTCTAGTGTCGTAGCGGTGTTTATCAATACGGCGCAGCTTAGATCCACACCAACTGCTAGCCGAGCAGGGCCTGAGCAGCTCAGCTAAGCAGCTAGCACCTGTGACCCGAGAACCGCCAAACGCGAGACCTAAAGTCTCGATTCTCGACGCTTTCCAATGCTCGGGCTAGCGGCTAGTTTGGCGCTTTCTTTCCTACAGCCTGCCACAGTGGGATTCCTCGAAGCTCAAGGCTCTCCATGCCGGAGTGCTCTTCGTCAGCGGGCTCCAGTGACCAGCCCAGCTTCGCGGCATCGGTGCAGGACGCCGAAGACCCTTCGAGAAATGCAAGGGCTGCTAGGTTGCGAGGGCCATCCTTGCGAGACATTTTCCGTTGAACGACCTCTCGAGAGCTTTCGCTTGAAAGGACCTGCTCCGTGACACGCGAGCAGCTTTGGGACAGGCACCGGGGTCTCCAGTGTCACCAGGGTCAAGGTGTTCTGGGCTTCATAACCAAGAGCCTGAAGAAGCATCTCAAGGCATACACAGACTGGGTTGCCTTCTCAGTCAGAGGACCCTCCGGGCACCCCACAAGATCCTTGGTTCGGCCTTCACATCCTGTGAGCTTTAACTCAGTTTCAATCCAAAAGGGCTAAGGGGCGATGCAAACCCCCGCAGACAACCCGGGGAACGTCAGGGAACGTTCAGGTACATGTTGGAGCCTCAGCCCCAGGTGTGTGTTCAGAAGAAGGACTACGACCGTGCCCAAGAGCAGTGGCCTCAGCTTCTATTCTCCGGCTTTCCTTTCAGCTCGGCGGTCCTTTCGCCCTTGTCCCCCCCTCCCCTAAACCTGCCAAGGCTCTATTTGCTGGCATTCAGCCCAGAGCCCCGTTCCGGACCCTCGGATGCCAGCCCATGAGGCCATGAGCGGAGTAGTCGGCAAGGGGTCTAGTGTTCAGAGGGTTGGCCCTATCTCGAGCGGGCATCTTGGGAAGCCATGCGAGTCTGAATCTGGGTCGGGGTTTGTCCTGTTTAAAGGGGTTTCGGACACAATCGCATGTAGTATGCGCGACGGCTTGAAGGGATCGATATGGATCGATGATTGTCGAAGTGTTCCCGGCGTGAGGGACAAAGCACCCTTGACTCCGAACATCGGATTCAAGGGTTAGGTGATTCCGAGACAACAGCTCAACGAAACGGGTTAGCAGAGGGTGTGGCAAGCAGCCTTCAGAAGTCATTCGCCTCAGCCGAACTGGACCGGTGGGGGGGGTAATCTGGCGCAAGTGTTTGGAGTGCGCTAGAAAAAGGTAGGAGTGCGCTAGCAAAGGGGGGCGCAATATATCGATCGCCTTGATCGTCTCGCAGAGTCTTGTCTGTCCTGCCCGGGCCAAGAGGGGTGGGCTTAAGGCTTGGGCTTATTAAGCGGACGGTAGTTAAGACGTCATGAATGTCACGATGAAGAGGGTTGCCTCCACCCCCCCCCCCCCTCCCGTGATCCCCTAAGTTTAGCACGTATTAGCACGTGGCATACTCAAGCAGAACGATGCAGTCGTCAATGGTGCATGCGTCTCGTAGGCGGGCTTGCCAAGCAAGTCCGCTTTGGATGTTCGCAGCTGCGGTAGCCCACAGGCATAACTACTGCATTTCATGATTCCAGGACCTAGTATACTTCCGCAGACGGTGTGATCTTCACATGTAGCATTGGATTTGAGCTTCAGACTTTGACCTACAGTGCGCATGACTGTCCGTGCGTAAGGTAAGGGGACTGCACCTGCATACCGTCGCAAAATCATGTGCCATAGTAAAAGCATTCCAGAAAGGCGATTTGTCTCAGACTTGCCTCATAGACCAGAGGGACAGCGAAGACCGCATCCCTGTAGCGAGTAGGGCTCCACATCCATGAGCGTCCCGCGCCCATGGGAAAAGTGCGAGTGCCTGCCACGAGTGGATATCAGGGAGTCGGACAAGTGTTTCTTAGGCAACCTGCGGCTCAAAACACACTTTTTCAAATCCCAATCCTAAAATTGGAGCTCCCTCCAACTTGAAGCTTCGGATCTGCAACGACACTGCAACGATCTGAGGTGGCACGGGGTTGGCCTCCTGACAGGGGAGCTGCGCACGAACATCGCGCACTTCGCGCGGCGCCCATTGCATCAGGTGCTGCGTGGTGAGACACGTTCGGGTCGGCACGTCTATAGTCCAGCAAATCATCCGAGAAGCGTCGTATCTATCTTGTGTTATCCCTCGATCTTTGATTGACTTCGTGCGAGCGGTCCTTTTCACTCCCTGACTTTTATTTTTTAACATGTTTTTTTCACACAAATTCAACGGCACAAATGGAACGAGCGAGCACAGGTGCTCAAGGTTCACTTCATTACAAATAAAATCAGATGGCAAAATTTGGTGTCGTATGTCCGTCTACGAAGCGGTCCTAGAAGAAGATCAGCCGCTACGATTCCACTCCTTTGACCCCCGACCGGCTACCTAACCTCACGGATGCAGCTCATTCCCTGTCACACATCCACAATCAAGGAGCTAGAGGGCCACATGAATTTAGTCTTTGGGTTCTCATCGGTTTGGGTGCTCTTGCTTGGCTCTCCAGACCGTAACGAAGACACAGATGATCACAGATGTAATGTGAAGGGTGCAACAAGGGTTGCGGGCGGTTTCCTGGGGTCCAACCTGATGTTGGCGGGTTTTTGCATGTTGTTTCTTCATCATGCGTTTATCTGACATTCGTTGCTTGACTTCCCAAGCGTCCGGCTCTGTGTTTCAATCACGCGTGAAGCTTCACCAGCAACATAGAGCAACGACAGAGATTTTTGATAGTTTGTTCATCGCAACACCTGGCTCGCTTGTTGGACGAACAAACGAAAAGTCCACTTTGCCTTCAGAACAGGTACAAGAAGATTAGGAAATGAACACAGCGCCAGACTTGACGGGAAGTTGAAGCCGGGGAGGCTATGCTTGTGGAGAGCCGCTTTGTATTCTGCATCATGTCATTTTTTCTTGTGCTGGAGTCTGGGGGTCTGGTGGTCAAAAGGGCTTTGCGTGCACCTGCGCCCCCCCCACACATGTGACTTGCTGCATGTCGCGCCAAAGCATGAGCGCGGGACCGCCCGGCAGCACTGTACATGAATCATGGATCTTCAAGCCCTGTATGCATCCTGTATGCTTCATGCCCGGTATGCGCCACATCAGACTTCGATGCGTGTCCTGCATTTGCGTTGTGGCTTCCGTTGGCCAGTGATGGCCAGACGATGCTAGACGGGTGCCTGCGCTGCGCTGGGCGCAGAATGTTGTGGACAGCGCAGCAAACCTGCATGGACTCGCTGAAGTGTCCTTGTAGTATTCCGGGTTCGGAGCTGTCTCCATAAGCACCGACCCATGCACCTATCCGCACCTGCTCTAGTCCTGCCTTTTTTGGCATCCTAAATCACAGCCTGTGGCCTGAGGCCCGGGACGCCCTGTGGCTCCATCGGCTTTTCCAAGGCAAATCGTTTTCCGACAAGGGGGCTTTTGATGCGGGGGACAGGGGCCTCGACTTCCCCAAGACCCAAGACAAATCACCAGACCTTATCTGCCCCCGAACAAATTCTCGAGTCGAAGTCTGTAGCCAGGGCCGGAGTCATTGGAAGCACTGGGTAGCGGTCAGAGGACCGTGGAGCGTGCCGGCGGCCGAGTGCAGGATTTTGGAGCTTAGAGTTGAGGATCGTTGCACTCTTTCGAGTGTGAGCAGTGAGCAGAGCTTGAACCTGATTTTTGCAAAGCCCGATGTTGCTAGACTCCTAGACCATTCCGTTTGTAGGCACTCTAGCCTTGGCTGGGCACCCGAGGTGCTAACAAAGCATGCAGCCACGGAGTGCATGGAGAATGACCGCTGTGCCACCCGGCGCCAAGGAAGATGCAGGGAAAACATTGGGGGAGTTTGATCCAGCCCAGCCCTTCGGCTAGGGCTAGGGATGGCTATGGGATTTGCAGGCTGGAATCTCACAACTTGGGCTCACAGGGCTCGCGGATCTTTGCGAGCATGGCTGTTTGGGTCGAGGCGGGGGTTGAGTTTCCCTCAATACCAAAACCGACAGTGCTCAAGGATGCCTCCGAACCGCTCCGAGCCTGAGAGCTCAGGTCAAAACAGGCCGGCAGGTCATCTTCCCCATGGAGGAGCTCCTTCTTTTGATGTTAAGAATGATGGGGGCCTCGCGCAACTTCTCATCGGTGAAGGCTCATCTCCGAAGATCGGGTTCATCGTTCATATACCTTGCCTTTTTTGGGTCGCACACGCCTTCGTTTTCTGGCAACGCAGTTCGTTTTTGGTGAGAGCTGGACGATCACATGTACTAGACGATTGCTGTGCTGCCTGGCCACTTCCGACCCAGGTTCATGGAAGAGGCCTGACATGGCCTAGGGCCTAGAGGCTTTGGCAAGAAGCTTTAGGAGCCTGTAAGCTCTTTTTTGTCTAGGATGTGGGGATTTAGTTCAGGACTGCGCAGCTTCGTTTATTCTGTCTGCTGATTGGTTGGAGGTGGTAAGGTCATGATTTGTCATGATGCTTGCCCAACAAGATTCCCAGAACTCAAGCCTGAAATCAACTGGACAGGTCGCCTTCGAGGATGCTGCGGTGCCCCGCCCGCCAACCTTCCACGCCGGCCACCCCGCGGGGAGCTCGTTCAGGGAGCACTGTTCCTTACAGCATCCTACACTTCCAGGGTTTTGTGATTTTTGCAAGTTCCTCTTTGTGTGAATGCCCTGTAGCATGGTTCGGAGACGAGAGAACCGCAATCAGACGCGCTGAGTACTTGTGACCAAGCACCAAACGAGAACAGGAGATAACAGGAGCCTCTCTCCGAAACCCCCAATGCCAAGATCTTGGAATCGTGAGCTTCAATATGTGTCAAGAATGCATCTTCATTCGTATTTCAGCAGAACTTTTTGTCCCGAAGCTGATTTTGGTCCCACGGGTGGGTTTAGTTGGACCACGTCGACGGTCGTGGTGTTTTAGGTGTTTTTTTGCCTCTTTGTACAGCACTCTTCACAAGGACTTTTGACAGTGTCGGAGTCATATCCGCTCTCACACGCGTTCATGCCTTTTTGCAAACATGCCGGAACACAGATATTTACAGCGTTTTGCCGATTCTTATGCATGATGTTTGACGTTTTGGAGTCAGACGCCCTGTCAGGAGCATTCACGCCTTTTGTGAGCATGCCCAAAATCCTGGCATTTACAGCATTTTTGTTGGCGCTGTTACTCCCTTCCAAAAGTCCTCGAAGCTTTACCTTGAAACCCCACTGCAACAAGCCTGAAGGCGCATCCCTGACATCACTAACAAGTTGATCAGGATCTGTCTGTTGCAAAAGCAGTTTCCCCTCATTGTTTGCCTTCAGAAACTAAACTTCCTGTGAATTCACTCATGGAAAGTGCCTAAACAGCACGTGCTTCCTGCGTGATGGTGTGCCTGATCCCAGTCCCATTGCCTGCCCCGCCACATACACAGCAAAAGGCCCTATATACACAGCTATCTCGAAATGTCCAGGATCGGAACCACACGGATTGCTTTGCGGTGACGGCGCAGCGCTGGCGACCATGGCCCGGGGACGGCACACAGGCGAGGGCGGCAAGGGGGGAGGGATTGAATTCAATTTAGGGCTGTGGGATGTTGAGGGTTGAAGGGGCTGAGAGCTTAGTTCACAGACTATTGTTGGTCTGATTACGGTTCGGGGTTTCTAATATGTTGACAGTTTATGGGCTTGCTTCATGCTTCTTTGTCTTCGGAAGGGGCGATGGCAGTTTCTGGGCCTGGACTTCAGGGAGGGTTCGTGCTTGTGGCTATACAGAATCCCATGACTCTTATTTCAACACTCGATCGGGTCTGCACCCACAATCGAGCGATAAGCTCACCCCAATCCTTAAACTGGCATGGCCGAAACCCGAAATCTGACACCCTACTCTCAGCTTGGAATTGTTGGCCCCATGAGTGTCAGGTACAAGCTTTCCGCGCCAAGGCCTTGCGAAAGTGCAGGACCCGCTTTTCGCGTTGCATTCAGGCGTAGGTTCGGGGCAAAAGGGGCGTTCTACCGGAACCGTGGAGTGCAGTAGAAACGTCGAGCGACGTAGAGGTGCTGCAGTACTGGATAGCCACCAAACACAACCGCCAAACTCTGCTGTTCCCGCCAATGGGTTTCGCAGACATAACCCTCGTGGCATTCCGAGACTGTCTCTGGACGTTAAGAATTGTCATTGCCCATAAGCCCAAATCAAGCCTCTTTGGACCTGGCAGTACGTAGCGAAAGCATGGAAGCATGCATGTAAGAACAAATACGCCAACCCATGATGCAGAACTGTGGATCGAGGATTGCAGATCGGGGCTTGCGGCCAAAGATCCTTTTCATCCGAAGGCGTGGCCCACCTCCATAGATCGCAATAGCATTTAGAAACGACAGGTCCTTTGATGAGTAGTGAGAGTGTTTGGGCATGCGCGAGGCTTTACGAAAACTCCTAAACGTCGTCTAAATTGCGGTGGTGAAAGCCCGAGTCGCTTCCAAGAATTCGATTGATGCAGGTGTAGAGTCGTTGGGGGAGTCGCATTCTCAGGGCATTTATTGTTCGCTTGGCCATCTTCAGGCTTCGAGGGGTCAGTGGCCAAGGCCCTTCAGGGTCGCTTAAGGATTCTCGGGGGGTTTGGGGTGTTTGGGGAGTTCGGGTTGCGTTGTGTTTTTAGCTTGCTTGCTACTCGGAACGATCCAACGCGAGATGCCTGTAGAAGAGCTCAGGCAGCTGCATCTCCCGCCCCCAGAAAGCCCTTAGATCCGGATTTCAGTTGGCAACACTTCAGTCCTCGTAACTGAGTTTGGAGGAATGCCGCTACCCGGCGCTGGAGGGACGAGAAGTTGGTGCTGACCCACCTGAAGGCCATGGGCTGGGTTTGGGGTTGGGGGTGCTTCGGTGCCGGGGGGCTGGAGGCACCTTGTCGATGATTCTCTTCCCGTGGCTATGTTTGCGGGGTTCTTTTAACAATATCTTTCTACGGATTTTATGTGCAATGTACAAGTGTGTATAGATAGATAGATAGATAGATAGATAGATAGTATACATATATGCAAAGTTTTTGGATGCATCTGGGATCAAGGTTGCAGTTGCCAGGGATCTTGTCTAGCAGTGGGGATCCGGGGTCCAATCAACAATTCTTCAGAGGTTGGGTCCAGATTCCGGTCGCGCAGGAGCAACCGGGAATATACAAGCGCGTGGCTGGCATGGAACTGCAGCCATTGAGCAGATCAAGAGGCACACCTGTCACAGCCATCGTCGGACATCCAGAGGAAGCCTTTTTTCAATCCTCCCATCGTTCGGTAGGATCGGGTAGAAACCACTCACCTACCAGTCGCTTGTATCCTATCGGCCATGGCGCTCCACTCGCTCGTCGCAGCCTTGTTGGTCCATTTGGGGTCCTGCCATCCGGGCACATGGGAAGGAAAGGTCATTATGCTCCTTGGATGCAGGATACCGCAGCTGTGTTGTTCCGGCGTTCGGGTTCCAAGTGTGACAGCATTCATCTGATGATCTGAGCATGCAAACTAGGGCAGGACCAAAACCCTGCAAAGCGACGGACCACCTGAAACAAACGACACCTCCTTAGGGCGCCTCTTGTCCATCAAGATTAGATGCAGACTATGGGCTACGAAGTCCACAAAGAGGGTTTCCCGTGCGTGGCTGCAACCTTTGCGTTGGGGAAGTGAAGTTGCGAGGCGGCCCGAGAAATTTGACTATCACTATAATTTGGGCTAAGGCTTTGTTTGGACTCCAGACTTTGTGCGTCTTGGAGCCCTGAACCCTTTTGCGCTCAGGAATGAAAACGGGGCCGAGCTGCCAGACCTGAGTGGCATTTGGGCTAATGCAGCTCCGACGCAGAATGTCACCCAGCCAAGCACATCCAAGCACATCCCGCCAAGTTTCACTGTCGCGCTCACCCGGAAATCCAGTGTAGCATGTTGTAGCACCGTGCAACCCCCAACCTCAGTCCTACAAACACCCCGAGCCTGATCCTTTCATCCACATCTCTGAAGCTAAGCCCAGACGTGAAAGTAGAAGACTATAGGCTTCAAAGTGACTTCTGCAGTCTGAAGCCCTAGAGTCCTAACGTATTAGAGGCCTCTTTGACATAAGCAGGACCACGGCGACTTTGCCCTCAAGCTCTTCCAGCCACCCCGGAAGCCCTGCGCAGCTCCCAACAGCCACCCGGAGAAGGGGTGTGATTGAGGTTTCGGATTTGCAGGTTTTGTTGCGTTCAGCTCTGCATGGGCATAAGCTGTGCAAGTTCTTGCTCGAACCCAAACCCTTGCAATTGACCTCCAACTTTCGAAACATCTGCAAAGACTCAGCTCACACAGCTCCTTTTGCTTCCCACAAATATCACCAAAAATGTCTCAGAATCGAAGCGGTTCGTATAACCTTCTCTTGAACTTGGAACAATTACGTCACACGCTTCGGCTAAGCACGGGTTCAAAAAAGTTGAACAAATAAGGCAGCTATGCCCGCCTGCCTGCTGACGGCTCCGAGACGCTTTTGGAGCATCTTGGGCATGTCTTCGCCATGTATGGCGCGCTGTGAATAGGGAGGTGGAAGCTGCACCGATGAGAATAGGTTCCTGAGGAGCTCAACTTTTCGCTCATTCGGATTTAGAGCCTTCGATGTGATCAGTAGCACCTCGGTAGAATTCTTGTCTGTGAAGCTCAGCTTCCCGCAAAGGATCTGCACACTGCGCCCCATCTACGATTACGACACTCGTCGTCGTGCCTTGGCATTGCACCGACCACCCCAGAAAGCAAGAAAGCAATCCGAAGCTTCCGAGTGCAAAGACTCGCAAAGACCTGAAGAGAGCCGATGACCAAGGCTTGAACACGACGATCACTTGCCGAGCGGGTGAGGACATGGCTCTCTGATGTGGTCCTCTTAAAAGTCGTTTGATTGTAGTCTAGTAGGCTGTCGTTTCTAGTCTCAGTCCGAAATCTCGCGATGTAAATCTGAGGAGTTTGTTTGACCTTTCGGATTCCCTCAACGCACATCTTGCACGAACCCCACCGGCACATACCGACAGTCACCGGCACCCTGAAGAACTTCTTGTGTGTTCGCTTTCGCTCCGGCTCTGACTGTCTCTGGCAAAGTTGCTGGGTTGCAGCGTGTGCTGGGATTGCAGCGACAAATTTTGCATTCGACCCCAGCCACTGGTTTTTATTTGTGGCGAGCCCATGTGCGCCCTACTACAGTAGAACCCACATCCGAAGGTGGAGCTTCATCGGCCAATTTTCCCCAACAGCCCTAACAATGAGACAGAAGTTTTGAGAGCGGTCGAATTGGGGTAAGTTCAAGCCTGGAAATATGCTCCTAAATGCACCTATAGGGC